TGCCTTTCCTTGCAGGACATCGTTGAACACTGGGGATTGGGCAAGGACATTGAGGTCATTTTGAGCTCCTAGAATCCCGAAAAATGCATGCCAAATCCATGTATCAAAAGATGCCACCGCCTCCAAAATGATACTTTTTTCTCATTTTCTATCCCTATAAGTGTCTTGCCATGCACTTGGACAGTTTTTCCAGGTCCAATGCATACAATCGATGCTTCCAATCATCATAGGAAAACCTCGCATCTCGCCCTTCTTCAGAAGCCATTGCAAGTCCATCTCAATAGGTTTCTGGAGGTACTCTGCGGTGTAGATAGATTCGATTGCTCCGTAAAACCTCATCAAGGACTCAAGGATGGTTGATTTCCCCATCCTCACTATCTCGTCCACTTGGTCTGCAGATGCTCCATATGCAAGCATATGCAAGGCATTAGTAATTTTTTGCTCAAGAAGGAAACTCATAGCACCAAAAGCATCATTCTTTTGCACAAAGTAAGAATCATGGTTGCAAACAGCAATCATGATTTTGTTGAACAAATGTCGTTCCATTCTATAACGACATCTAAAGTACATATCAGGGAATGCACTGTTACGGATAAAATAATCGTCCAAGAGTTTCGTACCTCGCCGTTGCCTGCTTCTATCAAGGTTTGCGGAACGGCTGGGCTTGCAGATCTGAGCCACAGCTTGGATGACCTGACGGGAATGTGAGGTTCTGGCCATTCTTGTTTTGTTATCTCTTCTTCTACGCTCCTCATCATCTTCCATCTCATTTTGGGCCACCTGGAGATTGAACATTCCTTTTGATTGGTTAAACAATTATTCCTTTTGCTGATCGATTTCCCACATCATCCTTGAGGAAGAAGAAGACATGATTGTAAACAGGAAGCAAAAACTATGAATAATGATATAGATTTTGATTTTGGTGAAGAAGGAAGTAGAAACTATGAATAATGATAGAGATCTTAAGAAAATTGGTGTGAGATTTGTGAGGATGGATGATGGATTATATGGAGGATTAAAAAAAGATTAGGTTGTAGATAATGCCACGTGGCATGCCGTCATTCGTTAAAAATCTGACTGAATCTATCCTCAAAGATTGTAAACAGATTGTGACACATGACGTGACATGATTGGTTAAAAATCTTATCGGAAATCCATCACCAATAATTGTATTTTCGGATAATGACACGTGGGGCAACAAGAACAATTAAAAATCTTATCGGTAATCCATCACCAATAATTGTCTTTTCGGATAATGACACGTGACGCAACGAGAACGATTAAAAATCTTATCGAAAATCCATCACCAATAATTGTCTTCTCGGATAATAACACGTGGCGCAACGAGAAAGATTAAAAATCTTATCCGAAATTACAAATAAAATTGTTTTGTATTATTTTATAAATAAAAAAATAGTAATATTTTATTGCCAATTGTCAAGGTTATTCAGTGTAGGGATGAAGATGCAAAAAGCTGTTATTGTTCATTAAATACAGTTACTATTCACTGGTGGATTGAATAATGAATAGTCTGGGGGGGAGGGCTCCCACGCTGGAGTTGCTCTTAGCTACTAGGGAACAGGCAAATAGACTACACTTTTTCTCTTCTCATCAATTATGATTAGTTCACATATACGCAGTTATCTTTACCCTCTCCATCACGATATTATTAGTAACATTATCATCCAAATTATCAAACTTTAAATTATGACATATAATTTTGAAACAATTTATCGAATGTAAATCAAACCCTCGGGTGTAAAGGTAACGTTCTTAACCACTTAGATTTATGGTAAGCTGAAGTAATGAGAATAGATCACAAGTTTTGGGTACAAAAAAAAGTGTTCATTTAAATCATACGAAAATTTTATTATTAGAGTATTATTATATGTTTATCTTTAAAAACAAGTATATGTATGTAAAACTACTCGGCAACTTCGCAGTTTTAGAACGCCAACACGCACGCGCGCGCGCGCACGCACACGCAGACATTAGATTGTGCAGCTTTCAGCTTCGAATGTAAATGTAGAGTTCTTGGGATGATTTGTTCTTGGGTAGTCCCAGCTCTTGCTGTCATCAACTACTTATACATCTTGGACTTTATTCTTTTGCCCATTTTTCTTTTCTAAATAATTGAAAGGTATTTTGTTGCAACCCTAAAGCAGGAGTACAAACCCTGTCATCCATATATATATATATATATATATAACTTGGGTTGGTTTGTTCGACATTCTGCAAATGATAACAGCATAAAGTCACTTTTCTTATTCTTCAGTTTGATTTGTGTAGTTGTACACTTGTAGTTGTCTTGGAGGTTTCTCCCTCGAACCTTGGACTTAGCTTCTCTGTCCTCCCAGTTCTTATAAACTCTCATCCTTTCCTATTTGTGAGGTCACGGTTAAGCCATATCAACATTTTATATCACTATTGCTTTTTGTTTTATTATCTCTATAAAAAAAATCAATATAAAATGTTGACGTAGCTTAACCGTGATCGCACAAAACAGGAAGAAATGAGAGTATGAAAACTGGGAGGGCAAAGAAGCCGGGTCCCTAAACCTTTACAACCCTAAAACAGCAGAAGATAAAGTAGAATACAATAAAAGATATAATAAACTTTGCTTTTTCTTATACATTTCACTTATATAAAAATCCCTTTCTAGGGCAAGTCTATTATAACTCTTTTCGATTAAATTGTGCAAACTGATAAGAACTATTCTCCAAATTTCCTAGGGTAGATAATACAAGTATTATTTAATATATAACTAACAACCAGAAGTTCTCTTACATCATTTCTGCACAGTCCCTCTTCCTCAAACACTCCTCCATTCTTTTTCTAACCTTTGATTGATAAAATTAAAGGAAAACTATGTGGAGGAAACAAGGCGAGAGTGTGCAAGGAGAAGACAAGAGTACTATATACACTTCATAAAAAGTTCCTTTTTAGGGGTTTAATGCAATGACATATGTTCAACTAGTTTGGTAAGCATGCGTAATTGTGCAGCTCTTTTTGTGCGTTTGGAAAATAAAATCAAACCACCCTGTAACAAAACTAAGAATTGCAACGAAGGGTGACTAGTCACTAGTTTTACACAATTATATATATCTATCGCTCTCTCATCATATGACAGTTTCAATTAGGGGTGTGCTATCCACACACCCCATTTTACTTCTCACACACTCCTTGATAATTTATGTCCGTTGATCTTCTTCAATTCATCCGATCCGATGGTCGAAAATTAAAAAAATGTGTGAGAAGTAAAATGGGGTGTGTGGATATCACATCCCTTTCAATTATTCTCCTTCTAGCTCGAATAAGGCCCCTTTCTTGAATGTGTCCAGGACCATTTCTGATCCAGCTAGATTTGGGTTATAATTCAAGCCCAATAAGATTCTTGTCCGTGGAAGTGGATTAAGAAGCCTATATGATGTTGTGAACCAAACAAAACTGTATAGCCTGTATGCTATAGGGCTCATTTCTCATTGATCTGAATAGTTGAAATTCTTAAACCATTGCATAAATGACTAATGAAGAAAGTTCATTGTGATTAGTTTATCTACTAGAGGGTTTTGCATGGCAGAAGTGTTTTCTTCGACGTGGTCATTTATTGCTGAATTTGATATACAAGGTGTGTATTAAATGGATGTGTTTCTAATGTTTCAATCTCAATTATTGATATTAAATGCAACGGTGAGTGACAATATATCATTAATCATCAGATCACCAAGAAAACGTAACTCTTGCTTATATATGGAGATAGAGGAAGGAGTTTCTACATAGTGTTACAAAGATGGCATGTTGGCCTAACTTGATTATTAACTTTTGTTTCTTGTACACATGCCGTTTTTCGATTTAACAATTTTTGTACGTGATGTTTACACCCTTACATAGCATGTTGTTAATAATCTACATGTTACACATATTATAACTTGAGTCAATGTCACCACATGGTTATGTGATGGTCACACTAAACAAAGTCTCGCGTGGCTTGGCAAGGGCAATATGTCCCAACCAACTTTGAAGCTTCCATGCAATTGCCAGCCCTTTGACTTGTAGTGAGACATACCTCAATTATTGCATGAGACCTCACGTTTGTGTTTATCTATATCGTTTGTTTCTCCTACATAATTAGCAGTCTACTCACGATTACACTATTGCCCTTGTATCCAAACAAATGCTAATGAATTGGACTAACCAATAATAACGTTAGTATAAAATAGAAATCAAACAAATTAGGTTAGATATCAATCCTATTATGAAATAATAACTACCAAATTATACATTATCTCATTTGTTTTTTTTTTATTATTATTATTAGTTATACTCTTATTGTAAATATGAAGAAATAAAGACTAATTAATCTCATTATATTAGTTACAAAAATGTTCTAAAATCTTATATGATATATCAAAGATTCTTATATTCAACCGAGTTATATTTTGATACGCATTTCACATGCGCACATGATGAGAAATACTGTAATTATATATTTTTCCTTGGCCTGAAAACAAGAAAATATTGTAATTATATATACTAGATACAGTATGTGATTAAAATTTCTTAAAAAGAATTAAATTAATGTTAAATTATGCAAAAAAAAAATAGTGGATTGGAGAAGTTAGAAAAAAGTGGAAAGAAAAGTAGACATGGGATGCAAATATGAGAGAGAGAGTGAGTGAGTTCAAGGTACTAATAGAGTGACAAATTTGTTAAGTAGCATAAACGTGTAAGTGAAATTAGCAAATGATATTTTAAAAGAAAAAATTTGTTAATTCTTTAAAGATGCTTTAGACCACACTTTAAATCGAGTCGATTTCTCACCTACGTGAGAGTGTTTGGATTGAGCGTGAATAACTCCGCCACCACTAAAACAAGCTCCAAACCATAATTCTAGCCTTTTGAGAAAAATTGTATTTTGGGAAAACAATAAAAAAAGGAAAAATAAGAGACAGTTATCGACGAAATTATGAGATATAATAGCAGGTGATTTAGGAAGAGGCAGGACAGCCACGGAACTTGTGATGAGAGAATATCAGAAGGATCCCACACGCTGTCAACACGGTAAACACCACCACCTTAATCCCTCCCTTCTATTCTTCTTCATCATCTGCCACTCTCTCTCTCTCCCTCCCTCCCTCCCTCCTATCGAACCCGACCAAGAAGCTGCAACAAACACTGAGTTATAATCTTTAGATCCTTTGCGCGGGAACAAGTTGGAAATTTCGGACCGTGGGATCTGGATAGTAAGGAAGGGGCGCAAGATGAGCGTGAAGGGGCCGAGGATGAGGACCCGCTTGGGGAAGTACGAGCTGGGGAAAACGCTGGGAGAGGGAACGTTTGCGAAGGTGAAGTTCGCCAAGAACATGGAGACCGGGCAGTGCGTCGCCATTAAAATCGTCCACCGTGAGCAAGTCCTCAGAAACAAGATGATCGAACACGTACGTAATAAAACATAAATTGTTCAGTTGGTTGAAACACATTAAAATGTGTGTAAAAACGTGTGTCCCCATATCCTAATCCTTATATAATGTGCTTTTTTCTTCAAATCAATCAAAATGTACGTAGGAATGTCGTTCAGAATGATTTGGTATGAATCACTTCTGCGCATAATCGTTTTTATTGTTTTAGGTTTTGAAAAGGTTTTTAAGTTTTTCTGCCAAATGCAAAAGGAGGCGCTGGTAAACAGTACATGCCTTTAATCATTTTAGGATGGCAGTGTGACCCAAATGCCTTTTTTTGTTTTTGTTTTTTTTTTGTTCTAACACTCTAATTCTTCATGGTTGGTTTGAAGTTGGCGATCAATGATAAACATTATAATTCATGTTTTTTAGTAGGTCAGGTGATAAAATACGAGGACTTTAGTTGGTTATAATGTAGAGCAGGAATGAAAGTATACCTAACTGTTTCTTGGTGCTTGTATTGAAAGATAAAAAGAGAGATATCAACAATGAAGCTGATCAAACACCCAAATGTTACCCAGATGTTTGAGGTAATCTCTTCCATTTTTATTTTGTTGAAGAAAAAAAATTATAGGTGTTTTCGTTATGATCGTTATAGTAGCTTTTTTTTTAAAATGTGAAATCTTAAATTTGATTGATTGTAAATGATATGAACAATCATATAGCTTGTACAGGGGGTATTGAAATACGCAATGAATACCATATGCATATACAGATTTCTTCGCACATTTCTGAATCGAGAACTTTTTGTGCTTATGAATAGGTCATGGCAAGCAAAACTAAGATCTACATTGTTCTCGAGTTTGTTGATGGGGGTGAGCTCTTTGACGAAATAGTAAGCGATTGTTGTTTCAACTTGCATTATCCCCGGTTGCACAATACTCTTTTTGGTTAAATACTATGTTCTTACTTGTTACTTAGGACACAAGTCTTGTGTTTCTTTTGGAAAACACTCCCTTATCAGTTCTGTTTTTCCTTAGGCCAAAAATGGGAGACTGAAAGAGGATGAGGCCAGGAGATATTTCCAACAGCTCATTAATGCTGTTGATTACTGCCATAGTAGAGGCGTGTACCATCGAGATTTGAAGGTTTAACAGACTTTATAACTTTATTACAGATGCATTGGTTGCATACTGCGTGCAATAGGAATGAAATATTGGGTTTTTGGTTGCATACTGCATGCGATAGGAATGAAATATTGGGTTTCATTATTTGAGTATTCATCACTTATATCTTTTTACTTCTTCTGTAGCCCGAAAACCTTCTTCTGGATTCATATGGTGTCCTGAAGATTTCAGACTTTGGTCTCAGTACATTTGAACAGCAAGTGCGGGTGAGTAAAATTGTTGCAAAAAGATTTTAGTGGATGTAAAATATTGTATTGAAGTTGATTATAGTTTAATCCACATGTACTGTTACCAGAAGTGAATATTCCTCTTGCTATGAGGAGTGTATTTGGATCTTGTCGTTGGTGAGAAGTCGGAATGTTCAATTTGATCTTGTTCCCGATATGTTATAACTTATGTTATATGACATACTAAAGCAGATAGTGTACACATTTTGCAGGAAGATGGCCTTCTTCATACTGCCTGTGGGACTCCGAATTATGTTGCTCCTGAGGCATTCACTTCTGACCTTATGAAAACAAGTTATTGCATTACTGTTTGATTATGTTCTTTTGTTTCTCACATTTGGTATGTTTGTATCAGGTGCTAAACAATAAAGGTTATGATGGCACATCAGCTGATATTTGGTCTTGCGGGGTCATTCTCTTTGTACTCATGGCTGGTTACCTGCCTTTTGATGAACCAAGTCTTATAGCGCTGTACCAAAAAGTACGTAAACAAGTTTCGCATCCTCTGTTTAAATGATGGGAATCTCTGGATAACTTATTAATGTATGGCTATTGTTAATTTCAGATCTGCAAAGCTGAATTTTCATGTCCAGGATGGTTTTCATCCGGTGCAAAGAAAATGATTCAGCGCATACTTGATCCAAACCCTGTAACGGTGAGCTCCAAAGCCCTTTCTACTGTGCCAAAATTCAATAAGTACATTCTTCCCATATGCTCTTGAAAGTTATTATTTGAGACCATTGGTATATGAGCGTGCGCATGTAAGCTCATTATACAGGCATTACAGGGCATTAATACCTTAATGCAGACGATCATTTGTTATATAGCCTGACTAGGTGTTCTTTTCTTGTTCTCTCCTTTTTTTTTTCTTTTTCTGTGACAGCGGACCACAATTCCTGAGATCTTAGAAAATGAATGGTTTAAGGAAGGGTACAAGCCAGCACAGTTCAAAGTGGAAGAGGATGTAAATCTAGATGATGTAGATGCTGTTTTCGGCAACTCAAACGTATGAATATTAGTCATAAGTTAATTTATTTCTCTCAACCATGAATTTTTCTAGTTATCTTTAGTCGGAATAATCTGTCAGTTTTTGTGTGCTTGATAGAATATTGTCTTGAGTTTGTACACATTCTGAAATAGTCCTTTTCTTTTGGCTTGTTGCAGGAAAAATTAGTAACGGAAAGGAAAGAGAAACCTGTATCAATGAATGCTTTTGAGCTTATTTCTAGCTCAAACAGTTTCAACCTGGAAAATTTATTTGAGAAGCAAATGGTATGTAGCATGACATTTTCTTAATTCCTTTTTATGAATGCTTCGGTGTGGCGTTCTACAGTATGATTGTATTTGCAGTTGCAAAATACATGTTTTGTTCCAATTGTTAGTCGGACAGAAACTGGGAGCCTAGTAGATTTAGGAAGATTAGAAAATCAAGGATTCGCGGTATTAGTGTTTAGGACTTATAGGTTTTGTTGAATCAAGAGCATGCTTAGGCTCACAATCCATAGTGGCCTTCTAATTCTTTGTAGTTGTCAAAGTTATTCTGCAAGTTTTCTGCCTTCTGATCATTTGGAATTCCATACTATAGGGTCTTGTGAAACGAGAAACCCGATTTACTTCCCAACGCCCTGCAAATGAAATCATGAACAAAATTGAGGAAGCTGCAAAGCCTTTGGGCTTTAATGTTCACAAGAGAGACTACAAGGTAATGTGTTTTATTCTACTCTTTCTCATGCTGCACTTTATAAGACTTGACTTAATATGCAAGTATCCTATCAAAACAACCTTCCTGTTATGTTTATAAATTCCAAATGTATCTTCTGCTAATTCCGAGCAATTGCAGATGAAGTTGCAAGGAGACAAGCATGGCAGAAAGGGCCACCTCTCCGTAGCTACTGAGGTATTGTCTGTGGCATGTATATATATTATGTGTTTGATACAGTTATTTGGAAAGCAAGTCATCACTTAGTAAGGGTCAACTTGACAAAAACTAAAGATGCTACTTTCGATTAAGTACCAAATCGTAAAACATGGTGTAATTAACTCTCTTCTTAACTTCTTGCTTAAGGTGTTCGAGATGGCCCCCTCCGTGCACATGGTAGAGCTCCGAAAAACTGGTGGTGACACACTAGAGTTTCACAAGGCAAGCGAACATTTTATATTGAACATTTTAGTTTCAAACATTTTCCATACTATTTTTCAAGGGCCAACATGCTGTCTACTGATTCTGCCCTCTAAATGTCTGTTACTACAGTTCTACAAAACTTTCTCATCGGGTTTACAAGATATAGTGTGGAAATCTGAAGAAACTACTGAAGAATCAAGGTGATCATCTCTCTCTCTCTCTCGCTCTCTGCACGCTCGCTCAAGTGTACATGTGAGCTCATTGTTACGGAGAGTATGCTTGTTGACAGATGTTTTAATTTTTTTTTTTTTGTGCAGGGCATAATAAAAACTCTTCTTTTGGTTCTTCTGATCTGTTTTGGCCTGTGATGCATTTAGGTCTGAGACCTATACAAATGCATAATGGTCCATGGATGCAAAGGAAACTGGGAGCATATATCGGGCAGCGTAGCCAGGCCTGAAGTGGTCCACGGTAACGAGATATGAATCCCTCAGAACTGGGGTGGTCTGGATTCTCTTCCTTTTAGTTCTATGAATTGAATCCATCGACGATTTTGAAGAAACAATTATATATCATTAGAGTGAAGTGAGAAATTCTTGATTCCCTGCTGTGATGGAAGATCGAACAATGAACATTCTTGATTGTACTTTCCAATTTTTTGACAGTCATGTGATACTTTGTTCATGATCATCCCCATGTAGCCAGCGAGTTCAATTTTAATTTTGATAAGAACTTTGTGATGTTATTTAAAATTCTACCAATTTTTCTGATTTAGCAACTCTGACCTATGCTACCACTCATCTTTTGTGGACATTGATAAGGAGGACTTAAGTTTACCGCCACTATGGCGTCCTATTCTAAATTGCTCTCATTGATTAGAGCCTTCCACTTAGCAACACCTTGTTATATCGATTGGAAACACTGACAAACGCCCAGAATCGACCGAGCCTCCGCCGCTCCTCGCACTTGCTACCTGTCTTCATCTTCTTCCTTGTGACCTGCGACGGTGCTACCCGTCTCACTCTCAGTCAGTGTCGCCGTCTCACTCTCAATCTCTCACCCCCGTGAGCCGTGACGGCATGACCCGCGACCTTCTCTGGCTCTGAGTCCTCTCTTCGTTTCCATTCTCGAGTCTCTCGACCCACGACTGCCTTTGCAAGGTTAGTCAGTCAGTCTCTCATGTTCTACAGATTTCCTTTGATAGTAATGCTCACTATTGTTGTCAATTAGAATGCTTACTATTGTTGTCAATTAGAAGAATCTGATGGGTAAGGAATGGGTTGTCAATTAGAAAAAATGAGAGGTTTTGATTTATTGGTTTGTAACCATTGGCTGTGCATCTGAAGTTTGAACATTCATACCCTTGTGGTGAAAACTGGGTTCGACTTCGATACTTTGTGTTCCCATACGAATATGAACCATCTTCTTCTTCAGCCATCCGTTCGATAGCCAATTCAATAAATTTCTTTTTCACTGATATGTTACAGCAATGTTGTTTAATGGAAGTCGAATTATCAAAGCAATGGTGATAAAATCGATAGACGAAAATTCACAAATTGTGATGCAGGCCTTGCAGATTATGGTGTCTCTGTCAATTCATAACTCGATTTCAAAAATTGTGTGTATTTGGAATGAAATTATTAAATACATGTATTTCAAATGATTAATTGTAACTAGTCATTTCTGAGAGTGTTTTATAGAATAGTGATTTTGTATATGCTGGTTTTGGAAAGGATGGAAGGTACCAAAAATGGTGATGTTTGCACAGAACCATACCGTCGGAAAGCTTAGTTAGCTTAGCCCTTATCTCCATTGGAGTTGGCTGACAAAAACCATACCCTTATCTGCATTAATAAGATATGCATTTACAGTAGTTAATATATAGTTTCTTCTTCCTTATTATAATTTTGTTTCATACTAAAATAAAGGCTAGCTTTTGTATGTATATAGATAACCCAAGCTGCAGCAAAGATCAGTTGTTTTGTAGACAATCTAAGTTCTCACGTTCTGACATGTTATCCCTTCACTGACCCATTGGATGTTATGTTCTGTTCTTTACAGCTATATGTTATGTAATTGGTGTATGGGAAAGCTTTATGAATCTTGATTTAGGGTTGTTCCCTAATTGAATCTTATTATATGTTTTGTATCTTAATTAGATGAGCTTGAGCTTGAAGAGAAGGTGTACTTGAGGACTTGAAGAGAAGAAGTGTGTGCTTGAGGACTTTAAAGTTTGGACGTTATGTTTATTTTAGGTGTGGAAGACTTGAAGTGTGATTGTGTTGGAGATGTTAAAATTTCAGATTTCAATTAAAAAAAAAACAACCAACGAAAACCGAAAAAAAAGGGGCCGAACCGAACCTAACCAAAATTTATGTTTGGTTTCGGTTTTAGCAAAAAACGGAACCGATTTGAACCGAACCTAGCCCTAGTACACATCACTCACCACTGATGCAATAATCTATGTTTTGAAGAAATTGGATAAAAACCCATGAAAGGGTTTGGATCGATTTGAGGCAAATGATAGGGAGGGCTTTTCCATTTTTGTGCAAACTTTTGTGGTAATTATAGAGTAGTTGAAAAAAGGCTTTTCCATTTCAAGCATTTTTATGATAGGATGATCGAAGATAATGGGACGGATAACGTTGTGAAGAGCGTGGTAGATGTTGTTTTGGGGTAAGAGTGGAATGATAGGTTGATAAGGATTAAGGAATTGGCTTGAAATTGGTCATCGCCGGTGGTGGCGGCACAGCTACGTGTTTGTCTGGGTTGGCATGGCTGGGTAGAGTAACTATTTTGTTTGTTTTTATTTAATCACTATTTAAATCACTATTAAAAAACAAAAAGAACATTTAATAAAGATGTTAACTATAATTAAGAGATAAGACACATGGCAAACAAGGATGTGTATGGTGAGCATACACCAAAGTTAATGTGGGTGAGCAAAAAGGATCCGGCTTCTCTGCCCTCCCACTTCTCATACACTCTCATCTCCTCCTATTTTGTACAGTTACAGTTAAGCCACATCAACATTTTATATTGATTTTTTTATAGAGATAATAAGATAAAAAACAATAGTAATATAAAATATTGACGTGACTTAACCGTGATCGTATAAATAGGAGGAGATGAGAGTGTATGGGAAGTGGGAGGGTAGAAAAGCCAGGTCCGAGCAAAAATGCACCCGAAAAAAAAAAAAAAAAAAAAAAAAAAAAAAAAAAAAAAAAAAAAACAATCATGCCGATTTCGACGTTGTACAAATTCACGAGTTTGGGTTTTGAAGATATTCATACCTGGTGAACTGGTATAATTGACTGTTGTTAGTTGCTTTTGTTGTCTACCTATATAAGTGGAAGGAAAATATAATTTTTCTATTAGGGTAGAACTTTAGATTATATATGCACCTAGCCACACCTCGTATGAGTTCATTGAATTTGAGACATGCATCATTGTTCGAACATGTGTATTTGGTTTTTTAATTGGTATACCTGCTTTTAGGCTTGTTATGATAGAAGGGTTCTAAGAAGCCCAAGTGTTGTAACTGTTTATCTACCTCTAATATCCGAGAAACCAATACAAGTAAGACTCGTCTCTATTTGAGATGCAGTGGTAGAACAATGTAATCATAATTTCTAACATTTTTCATATGTTTAGACGAAGGATTTCCAAGTCTCAAGAGATTGAGGCCAAGCTTGTAAGAAATGAATCGCAAAATGTCTATAGGAGGGATTAGAAAATCTTCATATGGTCATTGCAAAGGCAAATGATAAAAGTTTATAAATCCCTACTTAAAATGTGTCATTTACCTATCTCTCTTAAAAACAGTTTATTGATTTCTTTATAATGTCTCAAATGAAGTAAACGTATCTTGGAAAATCAAACCAACTTTTTCTCTTGTTTCTATTTCGAGGTCTTCGTTTTCGAACTTTCAAAATCCATTAAATCACAACAAATAAAATTTGGTCGGCATCTTTTTCTCACCGAATGGACGAAACCCTACACGGCTCAAACACAACCCATAGCCCACTGCCACCCAAGCTTTATTTATGTTGCAATTAGTTTTGGAAAAGGCACAGTTGGCAACAGACAGGCCGTTGCCCAATGTGCCACTTGGTCATTGATTGGATTTATAGTTTCTAGTTAGCAGCTCCACACATGCAAAAATTTGTCACGTCTCACGCTTCTTTGGTTACAATAAACTTCGTCAAAGTTAATTACCAAACAAGACCAACTTGTAGATTCTCAAGCTTGATGGCATGCATTTCACTCTAAAAAATCAGTGAATTCTCACAGATTTACAACGAGTATTGCACTTTTTAAACACGTAACCGGCTTTTATTGGATGATAATGTCACTTGAACAAAAATTTGATTACATAGAAGAATCTTTTGTTAATAAGATAAGAGTATAAAATGCAAGATCTTATGAGCTAAGTAACGCATTTTGGTTGTTCGTTTCACTTTAAATAGCTAGTTACCCCCTTAATCCTATTCTATTTTGTGGTTAATCTAGGTTACTTATGAGTTGACCAAGATCAGCTAAAGAACCTTGTTAATTAGGACAAGCCCCCATGGGGCCAGACTGGCCAGTTTATATGCAATTTAGTTTTTTTCTTTGATTGTGATTGTGATTGTGATTGAAGGACAGAAACATCAATTTCTAGCATATCTAATTAAAAGATTTAAAGTCTAGATACATATGATTCATGGACATATCACTCTGAGGGGGCGTTAAAGGGGTGCTAAAGGTGCAGTAGGGCCCCAAATTTGAAGGGGTTCTAAAATTTTTGTCAACTAATATTTATATGGAATAATATTCTATATTTAAAATTGCTTTTGTTATGAGATAATGTTCTATATTCAAAAATTGATTTTGTGAGCACTTTAAAATCTCATCTTACATTACTTATAAGCATAATTTTTTTCTTTTCTAAATATAAAAATTTAGAACACAATAAGATATTTTGAGTGTCAATAATACATCATAAAAGACGGTATTTTTTCAATATTATTATATAATAAAGTTACATATTCAAGTGAAACTTTAAAGTTAGAGTTTTTAAAATTTGTTTTCTTGTTTGGTTATTTAAGAGTGAAATGCTTTTGATTATTTAGTGAACGTTTATGTTTGTAGCTCTTTTACTTATTACTAATGACATTTTTAAACTTGCAATCAGTGAGTGCTAAACTTTGTTTTGATTTAAGTAATTGATTTCTAGTGTCAATACATTGTCCTACATTTTTTTAAGACTATCTTAAGGAGGGGCGCTTTTATAAATTCCGCACAGGGCCCTTAAAATCTCAGAGACGGCCCTGATATCACTAATCATCAGACGTATCTGCCTATGATAACTTGTAATAAAGTTCATTGATTCATTGTCGACTCTAACAACTCACAACTAATTAATCCTCAATCGTTCATCTTTGCGATGATCATAAGTAAATTCATTCGATGGTGTTGGTTATATGTCAATATAATTAAATAATTGGTTTTAATGCCAATAGACTAATAACCTATTAGCTCGTTTTGCTCTTAGCATAAATGATGTTGGAAGTTGGTTTGAGAAAATTTCTCATGACATTATTGATGTTTTTTTTTTTACACCTGTAACTCTTTTTTACTATAGTATGGGGTTTTTTTTAGGAAGAGTGTAGTCTATTTGAGGTGTGGTTCCTTCCAATCGCTCTTACTGAAGTGAACAATAGCTTACAGTATTTCAACAATCGAGCCCTGATTTATAGTCATGCTCGTCTAATATTCTCGAAGTCTAATGC